AGCTAGACAGGGTCGAGCTGGACTTCGAGGAAGAGGAGGAGGAGGAGGAGGGAGGTGGGGGGCCGGAGCGGGGGAAGAAGGACGTGGTGCTGAAGCAGAGCATAGCGCTTATGAAGGGGGAGGAGGTGAGGGGCACGTGGACGCTGCGGATTGCCGACCAGGTGCACGAGGGGAAGCAACCAGCTGAGCTGCTGCTGTGGGGGATCAGCTGCGTCGTTAGAGTCCCCAGCTCGACTGCATCTGGGAAGGAGGAGAAGAGGGTAGGGAGACGTCTGCTGGAGCTGCCGCACGTGGGAGGAGGGAGGGACAGGAAACGAGTCACGAAGCCGCACATCGTGTACATGAAGCGGCAGGACGGGGAGGAGGAAGGAGCAGGATGCAGACGGCGAGCGAGACGGAGACGACAGGGAAGACGATCGACCTGCGGGAGCTTTTGGAGGCCAACGAGGAATCGATGAGGGTGAGGATCGCGAGCAGCGTGATGAAGGCGGTGGAGACATGGAGGAGGAGCACGGTGAAGGGGATGGAGCAGGAGAGCGGAATGAAGCAGCTGAGTAAGCACAGGTACCATCCTGTCTACCTGAGGCACTACAGGGCAGCAGTCGCAGGACAGAAGAAGTTGGACGCAACCAAGCTCAAGGAGCTGGAGGAGAGGGACGCGAAGCTGTACGGGCTGCGCTCGCATGCGACGAGCAAGGAGGAGGAGGAGGAGGCGGCGGACGAGTTTCCTGCAGAGGTCCTGAAGCTGTGGTTGATGAGCACAGGCAAGTGCTTCATCAAGTGGAAGAACTTGGCAAAGTTGGCGAACAGAGAGGAGGGAGGAAGGGTGCAGGAGACTGGCCCCTCCGCTGTCGGGCGGATCCTTCATCCTCCAGGGGAGACGGAGACGGAGAGGATAACGGAGGATCACTTGTGGTGGGCGGAGAAGAAGCACCTGAAGCCTGTGGTGTGGCTCCCGGAACGACCTATGGGAGGTGAGAAGGGAGGGGGGGGGGGGGGTAGAAGGAGGAGGAGGGAGAGGAGGGAGAAGGAGGATGGAGAGAAGTGCATTGAGGGGTATGATGGAGAAAAGGAGAAGGAAAATGATGGAGATCTCAGGTTGGGGGATTTGGGGAGGAAGAAGTATTGAGAGAGGGAAGGAAGGAAAGGGGAAGAAAGACAAGTTTGATACCCGAGGAGGAGGAGGGGGAGGAGGAGGAGGAGCAGCAGCAGCAGCAGCAGCAGGTGAGCTGATCGTGTCCTCTCCCTTCAGGCAACCATGTAGCGCATGTGTGCGAGCGATGCTACAAGGTCTACGTGAGACTGGAGGAGCAACGGAGAAGTGCGACTGCCGCCATCATACAGGACGTGAGGCAAGGGCGCAAAACGCTGGGGATTCCCAGCACGATAAGGAAGGTGGAGGTGAAGCCTCCCAAGACGGATGCTGAGGTGTACCGACGCTCTCTCATTCATCACCAACGTCATCTCGACCCCAGGTGCTCTCCCTCCCTCCCTGGACCTTGCAACCCGGCCTCTTCCCCCTCTCCTCCCTCCTTCCACACGCGCAGCATATGTTTTGCCGTCCCCACCCGCCCTACCTCCTTTTCCTGCTCCTTGCTTCTCTTCCCGAGCATCTCCCGTTCCGCTTCTTCCCTCGTTTGTCTTACCCTCCTCGTCTTGCTCTTGGCCGCCGTTCCCGCGGCTCGCTCCCTTTCCCCCCTCGGATCCACCCTGCCTACTCCCCTCCCTCCCCCATGCTACCTCTCTCCCTTCCTCCTTCCCTTTCTTTCTCCTGCCGCCTCCCTCCCTCCCTCCCTCCCCCTCCCTCCCGTCCTAACTTCTCCCTCCCGTCCTAACTTCTCCCTCCCGTCCTAACTTCTCCTGCTTCTCAGGCTGCGTCCCAATGTCGATCGTGTCTTGTCCTCCTTTTCAAGTTCATCCTCCTTCCCTGATGTCTCATCTTCCAGAAGGTAAGCTTGTCCTCTCGCTCCCCTTCTCCCTCCCCCTTCCTCCCTCTCCTTGTCCTGCCTTGCTCCTCCTCCTTGTCCCCGTCTCCCTTCCCTTCCGACTCTCCTCCTTACCTCGCACTTGCTTCAAGGAGTCGGAGCGTTGAACCTGGGGAGGCGAGCATCCATCGTTCCGAGTGGCTGCAAATGCACCAGGTAGCTTGCTCTACTTCTCGTTATTCCCTCCTCCCTCCTCCCTCCTCCCTCCTCCCTCCTCCCTCCTCCCTCCTCCCTCCTGCATGTCTCATCATGGCCTCTCTTTCTCAGGACTCCATTGCTGAGAGCGCCAGGTACTCCCTCCTCCCACCTTCGAGCACGTTGAAGTGAGTCAGCCGCACGTTCCCATCCTTGTTCCCAGCTGCATTACTGAGTCGCTGCCATGGCAGGAACTGGCCGCCGGCAGGGAGGCCATGGAAGGAGCGATGGCAGCTGGGCATGTTCACCTGATTTCGCTCCTTACTGTCACCTGGACCTCAGCAGCTGAGCCGTGCGGGTCGGACCCTCTTGACAGTGACTCATCTGTAGTGACTCCTTCAAGCCGTAATAAAAGTAATTTGCACGGTACACTGTCAGTGAGTGATGTGGCGCTTCCGCCTCGGAGCTCCAAGTCTGCCGACTTGGCAACTTCCGTTGCCGGGGGGCGCCGGCGCACAGCGGCAGCCCGCCGGGGCCCGGGTCATGGGTTCAGTTTGGCAGGCTGGTGCCGCCACGGGGGCCCGGGCGCGGCAGCCGCGGCAGTGAACGTGACGGTCCTCCCACTATCCGGTACACCGGGGCACTGGGAAGTCGGATGGCCGGCCCCGGGCACCACAGCTGCGGGGGGTCCTGAGGACCGTACTGCCGGTGGTGGTCTACTACAAGACAAAGGCTGACTCACGGCATGTGCCAAGTTGAAGACTCTGAGCCTTCAAACCCGGTGACCGGCGCCGAGCCAGGCTCCGGGAGTCCGACCGTACGGTACGCGGCCGACCAGCGACGGTCCGACGGTCACAACTCCGTGTCTCAGTGTCTGTCCGACTCACTCTGGCAGCGGCACAGTGGCCGGGCCGGGCCGCGTCACCCGGCCGGGCCGGCCGCGGACTCGGCGGCGGCGCCGTTCCGATATTTCAACCGGCAGAAATAACGGTTCAGACGCATCTGTAACGGAAAGCCGCGGCATGCTCCTCGGGAAGGAGGCTGCCGCGGGGGTTGCGAGGATGGCGACATTCATGCGCCGAGCCCCAGCGAGGATGCAGAAGCTCATGCTCACTCCTCTTCGATCTCTCTCCTCCCTCTCTCCTGCTGGCGCCTTGAGCTCCAAGATGCGCATTGCCGCTCCCTGCGGACACCTCGTACAGCTGAAAGGGCGACTGGTCATGAGTATGCGGGGGTTCCCTGGCGCTCTTGGCGGCCAAGTGAGACAGATGTCAACTGATGAGACTGGAAAGAATGGCCAGGAGAACAGCTCAGAGAGCAAGGACAAAGGCCCCAAAGTTACCGTAGAGGACGCACCTCCTGCAGACCCAAACTGGAAGTTCTCTTTCAGGCATGAAGGAGACGACGAATATGCGCCGCACAGGCAGAATCTTGAAAATGCGTTGAAGTGGATGAGAGAACAAGCCGCTGGCAAAGAACTGAGTGAGGCGGAGTTGAGCGATCTCTCTGACAGAGCAATTGAAAAGTTTATTCCTCCTATGCCTCCACTTGAGGTGAGACGACTGCACTAGCACAGCCATGGCGGTTATTTGTAGGTGATGGTGCCTGCTCTGCTTGTCTCTGTGATCTAGCAAGAATCTTGTATGGGAGGCAAGGAGTTTCTGATTGTATTGTCGTGTTTCAACAGGAGTTGATGGAGGAGTATTATTCAATCGAGAGGGAAAAGCAAGAAGCAGCTCCCAAGCAAGTCAAGAAAATCATCGCCAAGTCTGAAGAGATCGCAAGGAAGAAGATTCCCGTCCTTGATGCCTTGGGACGTGCGTACGCAACGGGTGATCAAGTTATGATACCCCCCTTCTCTTGATTGTCTGAACCTGCTTCCAGGCAAGAGGAAGACAGCCGTAGCGCGTGTATTTGTGGCGAAAGGAACTGGGGTGGTAACGATCAACAAGAAGCGATTGGTGAGGAGAGGAGCTAAAGCTGAGACTTTCTGTTCTCAATTCCCGTTCTCAGGTTGACTACTTTCCTCGTGTGACCCTGCGCGACGAGATCTACTCTCCCATCCACGTGTGTGGTGGCAGACTGGAATATGACGTGTGGTGCACGGTGAAAGGAGGAGGAAAATCAGCTCAAGCGCAAGCGATCAAGCTGGGTGTCGCGCGCGCGATGCAGGTGAGGAGAATGGCACTGTGTCGGCTGGGGTGACGAGGGTGCAGGCGTTCGACCCTAGCTTCCGCGCCATGCTCAAGGCGATTAAGTTGCTGCACCAGGACGATCGTCGTGTTGAGAGGAAGAAGCCAGGACAGCCCAAGGCACGTAAGAAGTTCCAGTGGGTGAAGAGATAGGCATTGAATGAAGCAATTCATGCTGCTGGCAAACATTTACTGCAGTTGTACACAAGATGACAGGCCTTTCTGCAGTGCGAGCCGGTCGAGGTTCTGCCCGATGAAGACAATCTTGCTGCGAGATTGCGAATCAACTTGAGCTTGCGCAGGGAGGATGTCGAACAGGTTGTGTACTCCTTGCAGGACCATCTGAGTCTCTTCGCCATGGATAGTCAGCAGCCCCTTCATCCTAAAGATGGTCATTCCGCCCTCGTTCTCCCAGAGCACTCCTCCCAGCCACAGGTTGAGCTTCCTCTCATCGAGCGCGCGATCCTCCGAGCAAGAAACGGTCCCGATCTTGCTATCGTGGTTGACCTTGCTACTATGATCATGCCCGCTGCAATCTTCTCCGTGCTCACAACCCTTGTCGGCTGAGGTGCCCAGCTCGACCTCTTTGGCGCGTTCGGCATCGAACGCTTTCACGTCCAGGATGTTGTCGAGGTCAATCTCAGAATTCTGTGTGCGGTAGATTGGAGCGACACCGTTGATCTCCCTCAGCCTCCGTTCCACCACCTCCACCTCAGCCTCCGTGACCAGGTCGATCTTGTTCAAGAGGATCCTGTCAGCAAACGCGATCTGTTGAGCTGCCTCCAAGCTGCTGCATAGTGCAGGATCGTCCAGATGCTTGAGGATGTGCTTGGCGTCTACCAGGGTCACAATAGCGTCCAGATGTAAGGAGCTTTCTAGCTCTGAATCAAGCCAGAAAATTGAAGCGATAGGGCCCGGGTTTGCCATCCCAGTAGTCTCCACGAGGATGTAGTCAAACTTGTTCCTGTTTTTCATGATTCTTTCTAGCGTGTTGATCAAATCGTCACGTACTGAGCAGCATATACACCCGTTGTTCATCTCGAAACATTCTTCAAAGATCTGCCCCGCCTTACCTTCTGCCGCGAGTGCGCTTCCCAGCCCTAGATCCTCACCAAACTCATTCTGAATCACTGCTATCCTCTTTCCATGGTGTGAAGTTAAGATCCTGTACATAGATGGTCATGATTTCTCCCCTTCCACCTCTCTCTCAAACCTGTTGAGCAAGGTGGTTTTCCCAGAGCCCAAGAATCCCGATAGAACCGTCACAGGAACAAGTTTCTCCTCATTACATCCTTCATCTCCTGCTTCAAGACGGCTATGATCTCCCTCCCTCTCCTCCTTCTCCTCGCCGAAGCCATACACCAGCGGCTTCGCCTGCCCCGCCGTGTTGTGCCCTGCAGCAGGCGATGCCATGTGCTTCACGAGCCCTCATCCCCGCACATCATGGTACCGCGATCACTCGCCGCCGGAGCAGATCACCGTCACTGAGAGGAGTCCGATCGATCCAGCCGGGCCCCCGGGCCGTTTCAATCAAGTTTGCTGAGTGAAGGAGTGGGAAGTTTACCGTACGGGGGGAGAGTTTTGTTAACTGTGACCCGTGACCAGTAAGCCTCGGTCGCCGATATCGTACGGTACGGTCACGGGTCACGCGGCCCGGCCGCGCGCCGGGCGCCGCTCAGCTCAGGCCAGGGCCGAGGCCCGGGCCGGCGGCGGCCGCCGCTCCAGCACGCCGAAGTTACCGTGTGGTGACCGGACTCGGGGGCGGACCTGGGGAGCCCCGCCGGCCGGCCGCCGGCGGGCCGGGCCCCCGCCGGGCCGGCCGGGCACCGTGATCCAATCCGATCGGACTGCAGTCCGAAGCCTGGCACCGTCCGAGGCTGCCGTGGCCGTGACGGCCGGCCCGGCGGCCGCCGCGCCGGGGCGGCCCGGCGCTACCACTCCGGGCAGTGACTCAGGACGGTCAGTGACTGGCCGCGGGCCCCCGGGCCCGGGGCCGCGGGGGCCCGGGCCCCGGCGGTGAGTCGCCGCGATCCCGGCGATGATCCTCCATACCGGGCCAATATGGGAAGTGACTGCTGCGGGCCCTACTAGTGGGACGGCGGCCGCCGATCGGACGGTACCGCCGGGCCCGGTGGGCCGCCGCGGCGGCGCCGCGTGATGGCAGTGACCGACGGTGACTCTCCGGGCGGCGGCCCGGCCGGGCGCGCCGCAGCCCAGGCTGCCGCGGCTCGCCGCTCCTGGCGGCTCAGCGGCTGCGAGTCACAGTGCGCCCGGCCCGGGGCGCCGGCCGCGCCCTGGCCGCCTGGCGGCGCCGGCCGGAAAGTAAAAAACGAGGCACATCCCCGCACTGACCGGGGTGCCGCTGGGGCGGGCGGGGCGGGCGGTGGCCTTTCAAGTCAGGTAGGATTTCAGGAGTGGCCGACTCGCGCCAAATTATGATGATCGAAGCGTCCCTGTACCTCCACCCCCCCTTTATCACCACCTCCTGATTCATTACCCCTCATTTAGATGTCAAAAAAGGGGTACTCGTAGGTCAGCAAAGTAGAGGGTGGGTCGCTGAGCCGCACAGAAAAGGGGCTGGCCAGGCATATTTGACCAAGTTTCCGAAGGCATGGTGTATGGGGGTAGGGGTACTGACCACTACTGGACAATTTTCAAGGGTTCGTATTTGTAGGCATTTATCTGTAGTAAATTAGGTGAAATATAGGGGTTAGAGGAGAACTTTGAATTACACACCGGTGATAAAAATAACCCCACCCCCTAAATATTGATTCACGGGCTGAAGGCGGGAGGGAAGTGGAGGCGGGAGAATCGACGGAGAGGGTGGGGGTACCGTATTGGAACTCCGGGTGGTGAGAACAACTTTGAGAAAGGTGGGGTAGTACGGTTTTTGCTCGCTTTCTCAGGAAATATTTCGGAATTGAAAACCCAAAGAGATGAAGAAGGGGTATTCTTCTGAGTAAATATATAGGTGAGGTCATCGAAATATTTTCATAATTTGCTTTAATTGACCAGGTGAAGCACGAGAGGGGGTGGGGTATTCTGACCGACGACTTCATGGGGTAGGGGAAGGGCAATTAGAGGGTGGGGGTGGGGCGGGGTGCGAGGTTATATAGCCAAGCAGCGCGCGCGAAAGTTTGTGGAAGCGACGAGGAAGAGGAGAGGAAAGAGTCGTCGAAGGTTAAGAAGACCACACTGAAAGCTTCGAAGCGACATCACGATCAGATCAAAAGTCTACATCTCAACCTGCAAGCCTCACTCCACGTTGGGAGTGAGCTTGCGTCAAACCAGCTTTCTTCTCGAAACTGCTCCCGCTATACCTCTTCATTGAATCGCCGTAGCGGGTGCAATGGGGCCACACCTCAAGATCGTTGAGTGCGCAGGAGTCAAGGAGAAAGTACATTACAAGATCGAGCAAAAAGAGTTTCAAGACAAGGACTTAGATCGAGTCTGCAATAGCCCTGAAAACTATGATGCCCAACAACTTCAAGCGATGATTCCTGCAAAACTCATGATTTCTTCCCCGAGCCTGAATCTGCGACGGAGAGTCTGCCCAAGACCGGTATGCGAATTCCTTTGATGTATGTCTTTTTCCTGACTTGTTCCCGTTCATTAGATCAAGTTTGAGTCAGAAAATGGCATGATCTTCAACTGGTTGAAATCATTTTCTGCCCTCGGAGACACGCTGTCTATGATTTTTGAAAACATGGACTTCGACGAACTGAAGAAGGTTTACTCGACCTGCAAAATGTTTCACACAACGATCAAGAACAGTGCATCGCTGCGACGGAAACTTCTAATGCCTTGCTTGACGAATTTCTTCTCTCTCTACCGAATTGAGAGGTATGCAAAAGTGGCGCCAGTGCCGGATTTGTCTGGCAAGGGGAAAAATCTTTTTGGGAAGAACAGGAAAATCCTTGTAGATTGGTTAGTTGATGTGCAAGGCGAATTCAAGCTCACAACCGAAACTCTTCAGACTGCGATTTTGCTTGTAGATAGGAACCTGACGGCTCGACATGATATCCATTACAGTCAAATACAATTGGTGGGGATCACTTGCCTGTTCATCGCCTGCAAGCTGTGCGAGATTATGCACCCAACTCTCATGGATCTTGCATGGATCTGCGATGGCTGTTACCAAGTATCGGATATACAGAAACAGGAAATTGCTATTCTTCAGTTCACCGAGTTCGAACTTCGGGCTGTGACACCGATCTCTTATATCAACGCCTTGTGCATGTCTTTGGAACTGGACCACCAAACCAAATGCATGGCACAGTACGCCGCTTCACTTTTTCTCATGGAAGGTCAATCGGTTGGGATGACACCAGGAGAGATCGCTGGAGCTGCTATCACATTTGCGCTTCACAACCTGAATAAGAGCACAATCCCTTTCTCCGATATGATTTTCCTGACCAGAACGTCCGAGAAGACCATAAAAAAATTAGCTTGCAAAATGCATGAATTGAATCAGATCGACTACAATACCAATGTTAAAAGAATTGCTGGCTTACAAGGCACTGGAAGCACACTCAGCGCAGTCTTTGAACGTTACTCGGTTGCTGAGTACATGCACGTTGCTGCGGAGAGGCCTCGTGAGCCATGGCAGGTCGATTACTTCAGCACCAACGAGAACAAGAATTCCGACAGTGGGCTGTTGCGATGCTTGTGGTGCGATGAGGTTCATTGCACTTCGTCGGACATGGACCGTGTCCAATCAACATAGTTGTACAATCTCTTTGTAATTAGAACATGTATCTAAAACTCTCTCTTTGATTTGTTTGCTGACTTCCTCTCACTATTGTCATTTTATTTTCTTCGTACATTTACATCCTCAACTTAATCTCGTTCTGTTGTGGAGTTTCAGACGATTCTGCAATCTTCCTCCATCGCCTTGCCATTCGTAGACTGTCACTTGTCACTGGCCCCTCCCAAGCTCTTGCCAGCAGAGACTGTCCTCCACAGCAGGAACTGAGACACTGCAGGCACAACTGTCAATGGACGCAAACAGAAATCTTCGTTACCTGTGGCAAGGGACAAGGCAAGAGTCGAGCAGGCGAGGGCCCCGGAGACTCCGAGCTGCTTGATGGAGAGGAAGACAGACACCACGATGAGGTTCAACGGGATGCCATAGATGTTGATGATGACGCTTCGATGGCTCTCAGGAACATGCTTCGATCGAAGAGTTCCAATGGAGGGAAAATACATTCCGACGCACAACTCAAACACCAAGAAAGCAGCAGTGATCGCTGCGAGCGATGAGCCACAGCTGGTAGCGACTGCCATGGCGCAGGTTGCTGCAAGAAGCATCATCGACGTCGACTTCTCGACCTGAGAAAGAGGGCATCAGCAATCGAGTCAAGGGGAGAGCGCGCTTCGCACCTCAACGCCCTTCTTGCTCAGAGCTCCGAAGAGCGTACTTCCTATGAGGCAGCTGGCCATGAAGCAGGAGAAGACTTTGCCGAAGGGGACTTGTCCATTGTTGACCACTGCGATGAGGGAGGGAGGCCACTGCAGCACGAAGATGTACATAGCTCCTTCAAACAGAGCTTGCACGATCCCAACCAGAAGAATCTTCTTATCTTCCATCATCACCCTCCATGCCTCTCCTATCGTCGGCCCGGCGCTCTCGCTCCCACTCTTGGGCGCGACGTTCTCCTTCCATGTCGTTGCTGCCAGCAAGGCTCCAGCTGCCAGGAACACCACGGAGATCTCGAACGGACCGGCTGGTCCTCGTGCGGCAGCCGCAGCCCCGGCAAGCTGTCCAGCTGAGATTGCCACGAGGCTGTCCCCGGCATACGCCCAGCCGAAGGTCTGTCCGAGCCACTTACCGTCGAATCCCTTCTTGTTGTGCTCTCCTACCAGCCAAGACTCTGGAGCAGAGAAGAGGAGGCTGGTTCCCACCCCTCCTGCGAGCCTTCCAAGCACGAGCACCCAGAGGAGGGAGGACTTGGTGGAGAGAGCGCCGATGGTGTAGAGGAGAGTGAAGGCAAGAGTGCCTGCCTTTCTTCCCTTGGAGTCAACCAGCTTGCCCACGTATGCTCCAAGCAACCCAGTGGTCCCAAACCCTATGAGGAAGAGCTTGGAGACTAGATCCAGACTGACTGGGCTACCTCCGATGATCTTGCTAGCATATACCTCGTAAAAGTAAGGACCCTGCAGCCAGTCTGCCATCCTGAGCAGCCAGAACACGATCAGAAAACGAATCTGAAGGTTCTTCACCCCCTCAGGTTTCTCCTCCTTCTTTTCTGCTTGCTTAAAGTCCCTCACCGCGATGTTCGCAAGTGCAGCGACCGCTGCCAACCCCAGGAAGATGGTTTGGAACAGAGCATCAGGAGTGCTGGTTGCCTTCGTTAGTGCGCCTGCCACACTTGATGGCACAAGACTCATCTGCTCCCTCCCTCTCCTCACCCTCGCATTTCGGCCCCTGATACTCCACCCATTGAGTTTGAGAGGAGAGGTAAAATGAAGGTTCTTTCCAGCAAGGAGAGGGCGAGGGGAAGAGAAGGCGATGGGACGCTGAGCTCTCAAGAAACTCTGTCCACCTGCTCCTGTCATGCTGAAGGCATCGGCCGCGCATGCGCATGCGGCGATCAGCGCTATTCTCCGCGTCCCCGCCATGGACAGGGGGCCGGGGGGAGCGGATTTCCTCGTTATTCCCCTTCAATTCCAGGGATTTGTGTATGTGTGTCTGTATTTGATCGTATACTACCCTCACAAAATACCTCTGAAGTACGGGTAACAGAGAAATATAAGTCTTGTTTCAGCGCCTTGGAATTAAAATCACCATGACTACAAGCTAGTTGATATCAATAAAGTATGCAATTACCAAGGCCCAGTCGACCAACATTTCGGTCAATTATCACATTTTTTTATTGTGACTATATTTATTTTTGACTGAAATATCATGGTACAAATAGAATTCCGGCCGCTGCGGTCAGCTCGCCTCGCCGGGCCCGGAGATGGGAATTTTTCAGTGAAGAGTGAAATCAGGTCACCATCTTCTCAAATTTAATCGAAATATTTCAAATTAACTGGTGACGCTCAAATCCATATTCACCTGAACCTGCCTCAGGACGATTGGAGAAGGGGCCCCAATTGCAGATGAATTTCTTTTCTAATTTTGAAAGTTTCAAGGCCAATCTTCGAACTTTGGAATGTAGTGGAAATCGCTTCCTGTCGGGCGACAAGTCACAATGCTCCGACAGCGCACAGGGTCATGAGGAGGAAGAAAGGAGGAGGGGAGGGGAGGGGAGGGGAGGGGGAGGAAGGTAGAAGATCAGTGCACTGCAAGAGTTCACTTGCTGTCCTTGATGTTATCAGAAAGTTTCCCCTCAGGGAGGCAGAGCATTGCGGGGATCGTGTATAGGAAGTTAGGATATGGTTGAGCCAGTGGCTGAAGGCAACCGCGCTCGGAGTGTGATGGCACGATCCAAGTCAAGGGGAGGTTCTTTCATGTCAATGAAGGACAGTTTGAACTGCTCCTAGAAGATTTTGAATGCCATAGCACTTGATGTTGCCAATCATAGAACTGACTCGGCTTGATTTCGTTATCCGTTGCAAGATTCCATTTCCATGCACTCACTTGAGACTCCAGGAACGGCCTGAGGTCCAGTCAATGACGAACGATGTGAGAAGGAAGAGGTGATGACCCAGTGAGAGAGAAGAGAGTGCAGGTTGCAACCCATTCATTCACAGCAGGATGAAAGCACCCGAACGTTTCCTCCTCTTTTTCCTAGGATGCATCTTGTCCTGGGAGTGGAGGATATCGCATGCAGCGGAGCAGAAGAAGGATTACTACAAGATCCTTGGGGTCTTGCCCAATGCCAAGCCTGCTGAAATCAAGAAAGCCTATCATAAGATGTCGTTGAAGTATCATCCCGATAAGAACAAGGAGGAAGGAGCAGAGGAGCGGTTCATGATGATCGCCGAGGCGTATGAAGTGCTCTCCGACGAAGAGAGGAGGCGAGCATACGACAACAGTGGGTCAGGAGACAGCAAGGAAGACGACAAAGACCCCGGGCAGAGGGCAGAGACCACCCACGAGCCTCTGGAGCTTCACCTCAAGTTCAGAGGAGGGGAGTTCTACTTCAACTACAAACCTCCAGCAGAGGAAAAGCCGACAAAGGCGTCTGACATGATGGTGACATTGGACGTCGAGCTGCTCGACCTCTACCTCGGTAGCGAGTTCAACGTCTCCTTCACACGGCAGGAGGTCTGCAGCCACTGCCACGGCTCCGGGGCAGCGCACAAGCACGATATCTTGCCTTGCCCTTTCTGCCATGGGTCAGGATTCCGATGCTCTCACTCCGTGCAGGTGAGGAAGAGACTGTGAGGCTATCGGCTGGTTGAGTCGGCCACTTTGCGCAAGTGACGGTGCGGATGTTGTAGGATCGAGAGCCACTCGGAAAGTTTTGGCAGTTCATGAATACCACATGTACGAGATGTGATGGAACGGGGATTTTGGTGAATTCATCGTGCCCTGTCTGCGGGGGCAACAGAGTCTTGCTGAAGCAGGTGAGGTGGGAGGTGGGAGGTGGGAGGAAAGTGGAGGAAAAATGCAGGTATAGGGCCATGAACTGAGGAGGACAGCGGTGTCCTCTTGCTGGGAACACGCTGTTGTGAGAGTAGCGAAGAAAGGAGAAAGAGGGGGCGAAGAGGTAGGAAGGCAAGACGAGGGAGCGACAAACGATGGGTGAGGGAGGGCAGGAACTGGCAAGGAAGGTAGGAGTGCTGAGGCGATAATGCGTCTGTCAGATCAACCGAACCGTCACGATCCCCCCTGGGGCGCCCGACAACTTCAGAGTGAGTTGATTGAGATGTCAAGTTGGTGACTTGGACGCCGATGAAGCTGATGATGCGCATGTGAAGATCACGCTAGAGAATGAAGGGGATCAGGTTCCTGACTTGTTCCCCGGCTCCGTCCACATCGGCCTGCGGGTTAACGAGCATAAAGGTCCGTTGTTGTTGACGCTCTCCTGGACTTCCTTGTAGTGAGCTGAGGAAAGTTTGTTGACCTTGCTCAACAGATTTCTCGCGAAAGGAGCACGACCTCTACTATAAGACCAACATCTCCCTCTTCGAAGCTCTTCTTGGGTATGATACTGGCACTAGATCATTCTCTCCTCCCCTCTACTGCCATCTCGCCCTTCTCCTCTCTTCCCTTCAAGTATCGCTGCTGACGCGTCCTTTGCAAGGTTCGTCATGAACATAACACACCTTGACAACCATTCGGTCGAGGTGAGAAATGACAACCTGCTTCTAACCAAGGGTGACTCTCCACCTCCACCCAGATAAAGCACGATGCTGTCTCTACCCCGGGGTTCACCAAGGTGACATCGCTGGTTGTGATCTACGACGAGGCAGTGAAGGAGGAACATGAAGGTGATCGCCAACGAGGGTATGCCGATCCCAGGAGGAGGAGGGACATTCGGCGATCTTGTTGTTGTGTTCGACATCGAGTTCCCCAAAAAGCTCAACGAGGAGGAGAAGGAGCTTCTTGGATCGGTGACGCTCGTGTCTTTTGCTGCTGTGAGGAGGAGAGGAGTTGAGCAGCGTCTGCAGGTACTGGATGAGGAAGAGATTACGAGGATAGAGCAGATGATACACAAGAGGGCCATACAGGTAGGGAGACTCTACGGCACATCAAGACCTCCTCCTCTCCCCTCGCTTTCCCCCTTTCCGTCCCTTCCTCTGTTCTCATCGTTTTCGATGACCTCGCTTCTTTTGCCTCTGCTCTGCTCTGCTCTACTCTCCCATCCTCTCCCTCCCCTTCTCCCAGCCTCCAGTGTCTTTACGTTTGATTGCAGGAGAATCTGGACCTGCTCAACAGACCCATCGGACATGCTCTACACGTAGATCGTTTGTCTTGTTTGTATCTCGCACTCTTACAGCCTTTCAGCCACGAGCAGGGCTGGAAACTTTCATACATGCCAATATGGTCGACCTGAGGTGTGTTGGACAGTTGACCAGGCTCTACTTCTGCCTTCTTTTTCTGTCCTGTCCTGTCCTGTCCTGTTCCGTTCTGTCCTGTTCCGTTCTGACGAGTCCTTCCCTCTCCTCTCCCACACCTCCTCCCTCTCCTCTCCTCTCCTCTCCTCTCCTCTCCTCTCCTTTCCTCTCCCACACCTCCTCCCTCTCCTCTCCTCTCCTCTCCTCTCCTCTCCTCTCCTCTTCTCTTCTCTTCTCTCCTCTCCGGATACTCTTCTGATTCTAATCGCTCACCCCCCTCCTGTCTCCTCTCTCTCTCAAAGGCTCTTACTCTCTTCCTCTCAGCTTGGAAATTCCTTTCAACGGCATGCTCGTCGAGTGGTTAATTTATGCCTCTCAGCCCGGAGTGGTCTCTGCGCAGGTTTGCAAATTGTTCCTCCCTCTCCCTCCTCCTCTCGATTCCTGCTCCTGCTCCTGCTCCTACTCCTGCTCCTACTCCTACTCCTCCTCTTTGTCGTCCTCAATTCATTCCTGGACATTGTCGCCAACCTGCTCTCCTGCTCTCCTGCTCTCCTGCTCTCCCCTCTCTTCCTCTTCTTCTGGTTTACCTTGTCATGCAGGTCTGGCGTCGGGCCCCACCTGAATCTGACTTTCCTGAGCATTCCTTCTCGCTGATGGGGGAGGTAAGAGAGGAGGAGAAGGAGGAGGAGGAGGAGGAGGAGGAGGAGGAGGAGGATGACGACGTTGACGCAGACGATACTCGAGCCTGACAAACCTGGGCTGATGCACGTCAAGGTCTCCCTCTGCCCTGCTCTCCCTCCCTCCCTCCCACTCTCAGCTGACACGCCTGATTGGTCACAGCTGAGCAGAGAAGACATGATCTTGTGCGATGAAGGAGACGTCATTGGCTGGAGGGTGAACGCAGACTCAGTCTTAAGTTACGATGTAAGGAGCTGATCTGATGACAACTTTGTTGAGTTGATGTAGAGAGGAGATGACTGTTGTCTTTGCAGTCGCTCGATCAAGGACTTGTGAGGATCACAAAATCACCCATCATGAAGCTGGTGAGGATGCGAATGTCATAAGAGCAGTGCCCTGACTGTATCTCCTCTCCTCTCCTCTCCTCTCCTCGTCTCGCCTTATTCCTCTGCTGTTCTCCCCTCGCCCCCCTCGCCCTCTTCCTCTCCTGTCCTGTGCTTGCCTCTTCTTTCTCCTCTTGATCCTTCCCTCCCTTCTTCACTCCGTCTCCTCTCCGTTTCCTTCCCCTGCTCCATCCAGGGTCTCGGGAGGACGGAGCACTTTCCATTTTCCGTTGCCCGCACCTACTCGATTCAAGCAAAGGTGAATAGAGAAGTGGAGGAAAGGAAGCGAGTAGAGCGCTGAGGGAGGAGAGGGAGAGGAGAGGGAGAGGAGATGAGAGGGAGAGGAGATGAGAGGAGAGGAGAGGAGAGGAGAGGAGAGGAGAGGAGAGGAGAGGAGAGGAGAGGAGAGGGAGGGAGGGAGACGAGAGGAGACGAGGAGGAGAGGAGTGGAGGGTAGCGGAGGGAAGTGAGAGGAGGGGAGGGTCATTGAGGAGTGGAGAAGGCTGACGGAAGAGATCAGGTTATCTCTATGGCCATCTTGTACGAGCAGAATAATTGCGATGGAGAAGTGAACTGATGCCGACAGCGAGGAGGAGGAGGAGGAGGAAGGGGGGTTGTGGTGAGTTCTGAATGACTCGAATGCAGAGAGTTGAAGTGGTCGACGAGTCAGTAGATTTCTGCTCGCTGGAGTCGACTGTTTAGAGAACCAGATCTCATTGGCTTCACCTCTCCTCCATGGCTTTAAGCATCCTCAAAAAG